TTTGAGACAGGGTCTCACTATGTAATTGTAACTGACCTGGAACTCACTATGTAGCCCAGGCTGGTCTCAAACTCACAGTGATTCTCCTGCCTCAGCCTCCCAAGCGCTGGGATTACAGGCATGTGCCACCACGCCCGGCCATTCTTAAGTCTTTTGAATATTAGTGATTATTAATTTCTCAACCATGTAAAAGTATTTTACAAAATTTATTTTCTAATTCAATGTAAGCAAAACAAAATTTTATAAACAAAATGGCTTTAGATTTTATCGTAAAAACAGAAAACATTTTTCTGATGGGGTTCAAAGCAATTTTTGCCCTAAAGCAATTTTTCTTTTAAAGCACCCTCAGTTATTAATACCAGACCATAAGGGTTGGAAAAATATATTCTGGAATTTAATTAGAAGAGAAGGAAAAGCCTGTAGAGTTTCCCTGGCAAAGAACAAGTGTGAGGTTATAATTTTTAGTGTAGGTGGAAAACACTATTACATAACATCACAATATGACTTCCTTATTAAAATCCACAGAGCTAAAAAACAAAACATATGTAAGTTCATATATTATTTACATATCTGTAAATAAGTATTTTCAGAAACCTTACTTTTCAAGAGCTTAAAAAAACTTGTCAACATACAAGTATTTTAAAAATATCTGTAGTAATCTTTAAAAAGTGTAAGTACATACAACTCTAGGAGACTCAATGAAGGAATTATGCTTTATCTACCATTCCTTAAGTTCCAAGAACCAAAGCATTTAAGGGAGTTTTATATAAACACTTCTCTGAGAAAACATTATGTTCCTAACACTCCACAATCATTGGATCTTTATAGTAAGAGAGCTAAAAGTGAGTTGCAAAGTAAAGACACTGCATACTAAAGGTATGAAACAAATTATGTACAGAGATTTTCTTCCAGTTTAATTTCAGCAAAAACAGATTATTTTACCTCTGGTCTTCAACAGATTATAATGGACTTTACTACAAAGATTTTCCAAACTGGCAAATTTATATATATGGTTTTGCTTAAAA